CATAGACTAAACTTAAACTTAAGAAATAGAAAGAAACATAGACCTAAGAGAGAGAGAGAGAGACATAGATCTAACCTAAACCTAAGAAATAGAGAGAGACATAGACCTAACCTAAACCTAAGAAATAGAGAGAGAGACATAGACCTAACCTAAACTTAAGAAATAGAGAGACAGACCTAACTTAACCCTAACCTAACCTAAACAGAATAATTCGAAGATCAACGTCAGGTCTGACAGCACGTGTCTTCTCGAGGGCTAGCGATCTTCCCTGTTCGTAGCGTTAAATTGGGCTAAGATTGAGAAAAAGGGGGTGAAAAGAATGGCGAGGCAAACACGCAGGGTTTCGCAGGGCGCGGCTAAAGTTTCCCCTTCGCTGGGATTACGGGCCAGCTAAAATCGAGTGGGAGCATTCAATTAGGGCTTATCGGTTCTCGAGGCGAGTTTTTATCGCGTTTGATCGCGTTTTTATCGCGATTTATCCGACCCTGTACTGCAGGCCCGCGGCTTTTCCACCCCTTATCTCGACGCTCGTGCCTCATTTGCGAACGAGAAGCTCTTGCCAGTGTGTCGCTCCGAGGATAAAAAGGCTGCTTCTCTCTCCCTCCTCGCTCCTTATCTCTTATCAACACTTTCTTCTCCCTTCCTTCTTAAAACGATAACTATAAATACTAACGCGTTTACATGTTCTCTGTGTGCCTCCTTTCAACATTCTCCAACGTTCAAATTTCCCGCGTAAATTAGTTCGCAGATCGATCATAATTTATCAAAAAAAAAAAAAAAAAAAAAAAAAAAACCAAACCAAATCCTGGTGTTAAATCAATTGAAATATAAACCTCTGAATGTCCAAAAATCAAAATAAATATAAAATTGATATAAAATTGGGTCTCCTCCTCCTGTAGGATCAAAGAAAGATGTATTGAAATTTTCGATCAAATGATAATATATACATAATATATACAGTAATTGAAATTGATCGTGAAAATAAATTAATTTGATCGTAATTCTTTACGATAAAATTTCGTGATCCTAAGATTGATGAAATTCCAGTTATATGAATGGAAAAGAAAAGTAGAGTCTACAGATGGAGAAGAATGATATAAATGAAAAATGATTTTGGAAAAAAATATATTGTTCAATAATAATAATAATGATGACGATGATGGAGGTAATAATCAAAATCTCATATCATTTATTCGTGGAAATATCTCGAGATTTTAATATTAATAGAATTAAAAAATTTAAAAAATTATAAAAGGTCCTCATTCTCACATTCAGTATCACTAACTATAAATATACTTTCAATATTTTTTTTTTTTGTCAATCAAATGCGTTGCAATTCATTTGACAAAGAGTTCACGCAGTGAAGCCGGTGTTTTATTCTCGATCTCGTAAAACACTGGAGGGGGTGGGAGAGGGAAAAATTTACGGGCCACCTCGCGTAAATAAATTAAAAGGGATCTGCGGGTGGAAAGTTCTCTCTCAGAGTCGCAGACAGCCCTATCGCCATACGAGATAGGATTTTCAACAATGTGTGTGTGTGTGTGTGTGT